CCTCCGCCCTCTCTCGCTGAGGCTTTCAACATCGTGTCAAACGATGAGAAGCAGCGGCTGCTGGCCCAGCGAAGGCGTCCTGGAGCAGAAGCAGCGGCGTTCGCGGAACGAGAAGATTCTAGCCGGGCCGACTCTGATCGGGATTCAAACTCTCGTCCCCGCATCCGCATGAAGTTTACACACTATGGGAAAACGGGGCACCTCAAAGAAACGTGCTACGAGCTGATCGGCTGGCCTCCTCGCAACAAGCAAGGTTCGGCTGACAAGGGTGAGCGCGGTACGCGCGATCGAATAGAAAGACAGCCGACTGACCGAGGGGAGCGCAGGCCTCGACGAGGCACGCAGGAGGGAGCTCCACGCGCAGCCCAGGTTGATAGCGAGGCAAGTCCTGTTCCTGGTTTCACGTTTGCACAATTGGAGCAATTGAAAAAGTTCTTTGAGAACAATAAATCCATTGAGGACCCATCGGCAAACATGGCAGGTAATTCTTTTGATCCTTCTGAATGGTTAATTGATTCCGGATGTAACTAGCACATCACGACCAGTTTCGAGTTGTTATGTGATGTGGTTTCCAGTAGTGAGAATCAACCTGTTCGGTTGCCGAATGGAGATCGTGTTCCTGTACAACAGGTTGGGGCCGTAAAATTTGCTACAGGGCTTCATTTAGGACGTGTACTGCACGTTCCTCAGTTCCGGTGTAACCTATTATCCGTAAGTCGTTTGCTGCAGGATAATGATGTTGCCTTAATCTTTATGCGTGATATGTGTCTACTTCAGGACTTACACTCCAAGACAGTGACGGGGAAGGTTGAGCTTCGTGATGAGCTTTACTATTTAAAACTCTTTGGCGTTCATGAGTATTTTGCGCTAGCTGCTGGTCGTGGAGTTAATGCAGCGCAGGATCGGTGGCACAAGCGATTGGGGCACCCGTCGCTAGAGTTGTTGTCGCAGCTTAGCTCTGCTATTTCTTTGTCGATTGGAAAACCTTTATCTCCTTGTCACCCTTGTTCAAGGGCTAAACAGAGTCGGTTACCTTTTTCCTCTAGTTCGATCAAGACCACGGGTTGTTTTGATTTAGTGCATATGGATATTTGGGGTCCTTACAAACAAGCCTCTCTTAGTGGTGCACATTGTTTTCTCACCATTGTCGATGATTATAGCCGTGGTGTATGGGTTTACTTGCTAAAGTTTAAATCTGATGTTGCCCGTTTTGTTCTCATGTTCTGTGAGATGGTTCGTACCCAGTTTGGCAGACAGGTTCGCCGTATTCAGACCGACAACGGGGCGGAATTCAATACCACCTCCTTGCGGGACTTCTATGATCGTTCAGGTATTCTCTTGCAGACCAGTTGTACGGACACGCCTCAGCAGAACGGGGTTGTCGAACGCAAACATCGACATATACTTGACACTGCTAGAGCTCTTCGGTTCCATGCGGGTTTGCCTGTTCGATTTTGGGGAGAGTGTGTCCTCACAGATGTGTACCTCATCAATCGCCTCCCCACGTCAGCCACTAGGAAGACTCCATTCGAGCTCTTGTTTGACCGACCAGCTCACTACGATCACCTTCGTGTGTTTGGGTGCCTCGCCTACGCCAAGGACACTCACTCGCACCTCTCCAAGTTCGACGCACGGGGGCGTGCTTGCATTTTTCTGGGCTATGCTGGAACCCAAAAAGGCTACCGACTCTTTGATCTCGATAGTCAAAAGGTAATTGTCTCACTTAACGTTGTTTTCCATGAGACTCATTTCCCTTACCGTGCGCAGGATCCGCGCGAGTATCATTGGCTTCCCCCTGCGATCTTTGACGAAGATCCCTCTCACCTGGCCAAAATGGCCAGCCCTCTCACTGAGCCGAATCCCTTCTCCGGCCCTTCTGACCAGCTGCCGCGGGCTGAAGCTCCTGTTGGGCCTCCTCCACCAGCGGACTCCCCATACCAGTTGGGCCCCGTCCCTCAGCCCAACTCCCCCCTCGGGGCTTCTCCTTCACCGGGATGTGCCAGGCGGCCCACGCCCTCGTCGACACGGGCCCCCGCCTCCACTTCGGCCCATCCCGAGTCAGCAGGCCCGTCTTCCCCTTCGGGCCGGCCTGCTTCGCCTGGGCCAGCGTCCCCAGGACCTGCTGAGCAGGCTTGTCCTGCGGCGCCCAGCTCACCCGGTGTTGCGCATCAGGAACTTCGGCGGGCTGATCGTCACCGCACCCGCCCCAAACATCTCGACCAGTATGAATGTTACCAGGCTGAGGCAGCCAACGTCAGGTATCCTCTAGCCAACTTTGTCAATTATGCTAATGTCTCACAACATTACAGGGCCTTCCTTGCAGCAGTTACAAAGGAAGATGAGCCGCGCACCTTTTCCCAGGCATTTCGTCACGCCTGCTGGCGAGCTGCGATGGCTGCGGAAATTGCGGCGCTCGAGAAAAATGGCACTTGGACGCTTGTGCCCGCTCCTCCCAATCGTCGCATTGTTGACTCTAAATGGGTGTTCAAAATCAAGTACCGACCTGATGGCACCATTGAGCGCTATAAGGCGCGTCTCGTGGCCAAAGGGTTCACACAGGTTGAAGGCGTGGATTTTCACGACACTTTTGCTCCAGTTGCCAAGCTCACTACCTTGCGTTGTCTGATCACCGTCGCCGTTCATAAGGGGTGGTTTCTCCACCAGCTCGATGTCAATAATGCCTTCCTTCATGGTGATCTGGAGGAGGAGGTTTACATGCGCATTCCCCCTGGTTTTGCCACACCCGGTGATCAGCGTGTGTGTCGGCTCCATAAGTCCCTATATGGGTTGCGACAGGCTTCTCGCAACTGGTATCAAAAGTTCACAACAGCTCTCTGTGCAATGGGTTTCCGAGCTTCTCCAGCGGACCACTCATTGTTCGTCTATCAGCGCGATTCTGCCTTTGTCGCCGCTCTCATTTATGTCGACGAAGTTCTCCTCACTGGTAATGATCTTGACTTCATCACCCGAGTCAAGACTTCCTTGGATCAACAGTTCAGCATCAAGGATTTGGGTCCTCTTCGTTACTTTCTTGGCATTGAAGTTGCCCGCTCTCCTAAGGGCGTCATTCTTAGCCAGAGGAAGTATGTCTTAGACATTCTCGAAGAAGCTGGTGTTCAGGCCACCCGCCCGAGTCACTTTCCCATGGAACAGAATCATCAGTTAACAAAGCCTGATGTCTCTGAACCTTTGCTTGATGGTTCTTCCTATCGGCGGCTCATCGGTCGTTTACAGTATCTCACGGTCACTCGCCCGGACATCACTTATGGTGTCATCATCCTTAGTCGCTTTGTCCATGCGCCGATTCAGGCCCATATGGATGCTGCCATTCGCATCCTCCGTTACCTCAAACAGTCGCCTGGACAGGGGTTGTTCATTCCTGCAGACGGACTACTCGATCTTGTTGCCTACTGCGATGCCGACTGGGCAGGATGCCAGAGCACTCGCCGGTCTACTACAGGTTTTTTTATCTCTCTTGGGGGGGGCGCCCATATCCTGGCGCACCAAAAAGCAGCAAGTTGTTGCTCGTTCCTCCGCCGAAGCTGAATACCGTGCTATGGCTAGCACCGTCAGTGAGCTTCTCTGGCTTCGTTGGCTCTTGCGCGAGTTAGGGGGTCCTCTCACGCATGCCACTCCTCTCTATTGTGATAATCAGGCAGCCCTGCACATTTCTGCCAACCCGGTGTTTCATGAGCGCACCAAACACGTGGAGATGGACTGTTATTTTGTACGGGAGTGCGTTGTTTCTGGTGATATTGCTCCGGTCAAGGTTAGTTCTACACTGCAGCTTGCGGATATGTTCACCAAAGGCCATGGTACTGATCGCTTCCGCTTCCTGCTCTCCAAGCTGAACGTTCTTGACATCCATCGTCCAGCTTGCGGGGGCGTATTGGGCCAGCCCGAGTCACCATTGGGCCAGCCCGAGTCAGCAGCTCGTGATGGACCTGCCGCCAGCTGCATGGACAGAAGTCCTCCTTCCTCACGTAGTGTAGAAAGAACCTTGTCCCATAATAAAACCCTAGCTACTGTATCTAGTTATATAAATCGGTATGTACAGCCGGTTGGCTAATCAAGTAATCAGTCAATAAGATCAGTAGCTGGAGAGGCTTCCCTCTTCCGTGGACTAGTCCCGACACTTCGGGGATACCACGTAAACACCGTGTCTCTTGTTTATTGCTTCTCGATATTTATCAAACGTAGATATGGAAAGTCTGATAACGAAGGTACTACTACTTCTGCTAGATGGAAGGGTACTCTGTGACACGAAGGAAGGCGGAGCCTTATTGATTCCACTGTCGGCGGCGATGCCAGCACTGTCGACGACAATATGGTTATAGATCGCATTCCGGACGGTAGTGTCGGCGCCACCGTTGGTTCCGGGGCTGTCGGAGTGGCTGTTCCCGTGGATAATAGTAATAGTGACGACAAGGTTGGTGGTGGCAAACATTTTGCGGACTGCTGCTACAAATGCTTCCTTTCATAAAAATGACGCAAGGCCTGACGATTACGTGTATATAAAGTGCTACAAATATTGTGATGATTAACTGCAAAAATTGGTGTTATTCATAAGAATTAATGATGGAGAAAGATATACCATAAGTTTGTACATATATATTTCACCTTAAAAACTCCTAATTAGTCTTAGATCAATATATTAATACCACCATAAACAAAAAGTGTCTCATGTATATATGGCCTTGTATCTCTTTTCCTCTCCAGGTTAGAAACTCTAGGACATCGTTCGTTGTCATCAGAACTCCATGTTCCTCGTAAGTAGGGGTGGCAGTCGGTCGGTTTTGGTTTAACCGAAAACCGAATTATCGGTTTTCGGTTAAACCGAACCTTCCCCCTGTCTACCGACCACCGACCGTGCTATAGGTCGCGGTTAGCCGACCACCGACCGACCGGTTTTCGGTTCTGGTTCGGTTATACTCTAACAACCGAATGATTAAAAAAAAAAGGAAAGAAAGAGAAAAAACCCAATACCCACCCCCACCCACCCACCCACGTTACTTCCTCTCTCCTCTCCCTAGCAAACCAAAACTCTTCTTCTTCTCTCCTTTCCCTACCACTAAATTCTTATCTTCTTCCTCCTCTCTCTCCTGCCTTCCTCCAAAAAAACCCACCAGAGGGCAGAGACCCCATCCCTTTTCTTCCTTCTCCCTCCACAAAATTCTTATCTTCTTCCTCCTCTCTCTCATGCCTTCTCTCCATTTCAAACCCACAACAACTGCTCCTCTTGTCCCCCCCCAAATCCCCTCCATGGCCGACGATAGGATCTCCTCGCCGTCGTCACTGCTCCGCCGCTTCTTCCTCCGCCATCCCCACCTGCTGCAATACAACCACCACCACCACCAGCAGCGCTTCTTCATCCTTCCAGTTCGATTTCCACTCTCAGTCGCCGTCGTCTTCCTTCACCCCTTACGGTCTCGAGCAAGTCACCCGATTCTTCAGTTCATCACCATCATCAGTAGCAGCAGCAGCCAGCCCCGTGGATTTGACGAGAAGGGATTTAATTGGAGACAAGCTGCATGAGCTTTACAATCCCTTTTTCCCCAGATCTGATCTTTCTCTGTCTCTCCCTCCTCTGCTGGGAATTTTTTTTTTTTTTTGAGGAACAGAGGGCTGGGATTTGAGTATGAAGAAGAAAGAATTAGGGTTGGGGTTTAATTAAAAGAATGGCTGGTCGGTTATGTTCGGTTAGTCGGGTAACCGCGGTTAATTAGCCTCGGTTACTCGGCTAGCCGAAAACCAGCTTTATTCCACCGAACACCGACCGAGGCAAATAACCGTCGGTTTTCGGTTAGCTACTAACCGGCGGTTATCGGTTGAACCGACCGGTTAGCCGCTAACCGGAAACCGAACTGCCACCCCTACTCGTAAGTCTCTCTCTCTCAATTGTGTAATTTGCAGTCTAAATCATCGTTTTCATTAATCGGGAAAAGTGAAAAATGAGCTTTACAAGCGCTAAATATTGATCCCTTTGGCAATGCTTTAGTTGCGTCATGAGTCATGATCATTGCCTACATGGCTACATTGTCATCAGGAAGCACGAGACAAAGTTCACAAGTGCTCGATCTTCTTGGCAATTTTTCTAGCATTGGAGCGTCTTCTGTGCCATTATTATATGCATTCACTTTCTTCAGTACAACTCCAACATTTAGCAAATATGCTACCACTTTCATGTCATCATATATCCCTCGTGCTGAGAGGTTATGGACCTCGATATCCTCGAGCCTTGACGACAAACACTCGAGAGTGCAAGCATGCACTAACTCCTCCTCTCAAAATGGTTTTAAGTTAATGACGAGAACTACTATAAATATGAAAATTATTAATTAAATAACAAAGCAAAAAACGTAAATTGGGTTCCAATCCTCTCATATTATGAACCATAAACAAAACCAATTTAAAGAGTTAGAACCCAAATCTTTTTCCTTCTCACCCAAGCTCTAGCCTCTCTCCTTCTTCTCTTACTGAAATTCCATTTTCTTAGCTTACAAGACACTAGTTAAATACTAACACATCTCCGGATCCAACTAGCTAGAATACTTATAACTAATAACTATATCAAAGCACCATAAAATAATACAAAACACATACTAATAAAGAAAATAGGGCTAATACCACAGCGAAACCCGAACTATCAAGAAAATATCATTTGTGTCCCAAATTATTTAATATTTCATTTATGTACCAACGTATAATAGTAGTGTGTCATTTATGCCCTGACGAAATCATTAACCATTATAGATAGCGGTTGATGAGACGGTGGTCAACTTGATGTTGACTTAGGATCGAAATCGATGGAACGATTAAGCTGATTTGGGGATTTTTGTAACCTTTATTTTTATTTTAATTATTTTAGATGAAAATATAAATAAAAATTAATATTTAAAATTTCATATCAAATGCCACGTCGAGACTGACTGAATTTTCTTTTAAATATTGACGTTCAAACTCGGTCAACACTAGCCCATAAAATAGTCGAGGACATAAATGTCATATTGAGTAGTTCGGGACACAAGTGTCACTTTCTTGATAGTTCGGTTTCCCCAGCGGTATTCACTAGCCCATAAATTTTTGAATTGCTTTTATGGCTCGTTTCGTAACACTGAGCATATGCCATGTGTACGTATGAAGAGCATGGAAAACAAATAATTGGGTTCATGTAAAAAGAACAAAAGACCAAATACCTAGCTTCAAATAAACCATGCCAAGAAGCGTATCAATCTCAGAATCACTCACACGTAGAGGTGGCAATTAGGATCATATTCATGAATCCAATCCATCCACCAAATTATCCACCTAATTCAATCCATTTAAATTCAATTCATTTGATTCAAATCCAATTGGATTGGTAGATTCAAGGATGATCCATGGATCCAAATGGCAAGTTACGATTTAGTATCTATAATTTTTATATTTTACATTTTGGTACCTAAAATTATTTTGGGTTAATAGCATTTTGTACCCCTCTACTATTGAAAATTAATAAACGTACCCCTCTACTAATTTTTGTACAAATATACCCTTCTACTCTTAAAACGTAACGAGTATACTCTTCCGTCTAATTATCTGGTAAGTGTCCGTTTAATAGATGGGGAAATAAACTAATTGCCCCTCACTAGTTTTTTTAATTATTTTTTTTGTCTCAAATCAATTAAAAATTAAAACAAAACCTAAATTAATCCCCTCCATCCGTCTCCCTTAAGCACTCTACTCGGCGGTGGCTGCTCCCAGCTTCTCCTCCCTGGCGGCCGCCACCAGACGTAGAAGAGCCACTGCGGGATTCAGCCAACATGTCCATGTACACCTGGCGCAGCGGCGGCTGCAACAGTTTTCATACCAAAGATGGCATTCACAGCCCTGTGACCGATTGCAGTTCTAGCTCCACAGCCCAGTCCTGTCATCATCACACAGGCAATTTCAATCAGGTTCTAGGCATTAAATTATTATCCTGGCGTAAAGCCTATGGGTGTTGTATATGAATCAAGTCACCATAAGCAATAGCACCTTCGATACCTCCCAACACAGATCCGGTGGAGCTGGACTTACGGACCGGATGAGAAGCCGCTGGGGAAGGAGTAGTCGGGAGAAGCCACCGCCGAGTAGTTAGTAGAGGGCTTGAGGGAGACGGAAGGTTGGAGAGGATTAGTTTAGGGTTTTTGTTATAATTTTTAATTGATTTAGAACAGAAAATAATTAAAAAAAATTAGTGAGGGATAATTGCGTCATTTCTGAAGTCATTAAACGGACACTTAATAGATAATTAGATGAAAGGGTATTTTCGTTACGTTTTAATAGTAGAAGGGTATGTTTGTGCAAAAATTTAGTAGAAGTGTATGTTTGTTAATGTACACAAGTAGAGGGGTCCAAAATGCTATTCACCCAATTATTTTTTATATGAAAAATATCATTGGAAAATCAAGTTTTGGTACCTAAAAATTTTCATTATGATATTTTGGTGCCTAAACTTTTCACATTTACATATTGGTCCTAGGCTTGTATGTCATTTGGATTCATGGATCAATTCACCAATCCACTTGATCCTACCATCGATCCACCAATCCATCAATCCACAAATCCATTTGATAAAATCCACTTGATCCATGGATCTACCAATCCAATCCACCATTTCATTCGCCACCTCTACTCGCACGTACAAACAAGTGTTACCTTCAAATCAATTTGAAAGATCAATGATGTCAACATTAGACAACGGAAGTAAATGAAGCAAGAGGTGGACAAAGATATATGTTTTACTTCCGATAGTCTTGTCATTAAAGCCACCTTGATTGGCGTTCAATATATCTTGGCAAAACGAGAAGGAAACCAAACTTGTAGAGGTGGCAATTCTCAATCCAATTCACGAATCCAATCCATCAACTCATTAAAAATATACACCTAATCCAATCCATTTGATCCAAATCCATTTGGATTGGTGGATTCATGGATTGATCCATGGATCCAAATGGCAAATTACGGTTTGCTACCTATACTTTTTATATTTTACATTTTGGTACCCAAAATTTAATTTTTTATACGAACAATATGATTGGAAAATTACGTTTTGGTACCTAAATTTTTTTATCATGACATTTTAGTACATAAACTTTTCACATTTTACATATTGGTCCTTGATTGAGGATGTCATTTGGATTCATGGATAATCCACCAATCCACTTGATCCAATCCATGAATCCACCAATCCATTGGATCCAATCCATTTGATCCATGGATCCACCAATCCATGGTTCAATCCATTTGCCACCCCTACAAACTTGCATACTAGTATATAGACAAACAATTGACACACAATATATATACCAACTTACAAACGCCTTCAATCGAAGCTTAATCATGACTTTTATCCAATTCATTTTATTCCACTTCTCCAAATTTTATTTTCTATGAAAGGTGAATTAGCCTCGGGAGTGGATGTCGAGAGAGGCATGTGTAGACTTCATTGATGGCAAGTAGGCAACTCGATTCCTTCTTTCTTAGGCAACCTACCTACCCTTTTGTCAAATTATCTCATCACTTGGAGCTAATATCTTATAGAGCTTCATACACCTAGCTAGTTGTTTGTCCTTATGGTATACATCACTTCCAATCCGAAAAGTGTCATCCTGGGAACATCCACAAAAAAAAAAAAAAAAAAAAAAAACTAAGATGGTGGTGGTTTTTATAAGAGGAAACCTATATTGTACTTTGAAAAGAGATTACAGAAGAGTCATGAACAACATGAATTGGAAACAAAACAAGGAGAAAACAACCACACATGTTGTGGGGCATTCCATGCTGAGATGGTAGTTGTTGACATTATCCTAATAGAAATTATAGCTTTCAACTTGACATATTGATAAATCAATCATGTTACCTTTTATTGCAATAATAATTTGATCTCCTCCAACACCTCATAAAACTAGCAAAAACAATTCAACCCATAATAATTATTAGTTAACCTCCAAGTTGCTTCATCTTGAAACGAGATATGACTGCTAATCAAATATTGTAACTACTCATGGACCTTGAGGTTCGTACATTACTTCCATAATTTGAGAGTTGAAAAATCTAGAAGTTATTCTCTTAAAATTGCTAACTTGAGTAAGTTTGTTCATATATATGTTAATTATTAACTAAAAAAGAATAAAAAACTACCTCCCACCATTAAAGAAAAGGAGATTTTTATGGTTCAGATGAAAGACTTAGAGAAATACAACTGAAGTGGAGTTGGTAAAACAATATTGTGACAACAAGATAGCAAATACCTCTATCACATTAATCTATACCGCTTACTCTTTGTTATCGAAAGTTCTTATGTACTCTAACTATATAGCTAAACATATCACTAATTCAAGTAATGTAAATTTTAAAGTTTAATATTTTCTATTAGATATGACAATAAAATTAAAAATGATAGAATAGGTAAACCATAAATTTGGAAGCCCCACTATAAATCATCATTGAAAAAAATTTCTCGGTTCTCAAGATTTTCTTTTTGATCTTTATCTCTTATTTCTTTTGGTTCTTTTCTCTCTCCATAAAATAGTTATTTCATTCATAAAAAAATTAGTAGTAAA